GTGCACGACCATAGAACCTGTCATGGCATATAAATTATCGTGTCGCACGGTTGACTACTAATCTTTGTCAATTGGGATCAGCGACACAGACCATTTGTACCAAAAACAGCAATCAGTACTCCCTCTCTATCTCTTTCTCACAGAGTAGAGGATGTGCGGCACTTACATAATATAACAAAATATGCTCTGCAATTTATAATTCTAATGACCTGAACCAATCTACAAAATGCTAATGAAAACACTGTCCGCACCGCTCTGTTTGTTTTTGGAATGCACTGCGTGCACAGAAAATGGACAGCGGTCCACGGGTGTGCGACTGTGGCAGGCCTTCCATGTCATTACGAACTTTGAACTCACATCGTGCGAGGGCATGCCCGACCGTGGCGGACGAAAGAACACATGGCCAGGAGATGGGTGTGGTCGATGACGGCGGAGCATCAAGTATAGGTGCAGTGAATCTCGTGAGCGATGAGAGCGAGGACATCGGGGCCCCCGAGAATGTAGACGGCGAGGGCGGGACATTTGAAGAGCAGCAACCGCAGCCTGTCAAATTTTTTGACAGCTCTCGCAAGCTGGCGGCACTGATTTTCTCCGTCAGGGGCGACGTCGGTATGTCGCAGAGCAACATAGATGCTCTCTTGTCACTTCTCACGGACCCGAGATTATGCACGAGAGACATTGCGTATCGTAATAGTCGAGAGTGTTTGACATGGGCAGGGAGTCTAGCAGACGCTGCTGGATGGAAAGAGTTGGATCTACGTTGTGACGATTGACCACAGGATGCGCACGCCATCTTGTGGCACCGCGACTGGCGAACGACATTTCTGTCGATTTTTCATGTCGCATTACAGAAATGCGAGACGGTGTCTTCTCTAGAAGTGTCTCCGCCGTCAGAGCACCTCAGTATATCTGGCCCAGGCAGCGGGGCGCTAAGTTATCACTTCCAGTCGATCATTCGAGCGGACAAAGGCATGGACGGGAATGGTAATCCACGTTATGTTATCCCTCTTTCATTGTATTCCGACAAGACACATACAGACGGTCATAAAAAACAGACGGCGTACCCTCTGATGATGTCACTAGCCGACCACGCATCCAAAGCCACACTACTGGCCTATCTTCTTGTGCTTCATCATCGTCCGCGTGACAAATGATGGGGTCTGCAGTCCACCTCATTAAGAAAGCGAAAGGCCATCATTTTGCACAAGGCCCTTTCAGTAGTGTTGCAGTCTGCGAAGGAGGCATCTCATGACGGAATAATGACACCGACAACGCGATTCGGGGACATAACTGTCCACCCTTTCCTCTTCAACTATATCCAGGACTACCCAGAACGATGTGCGATTGCAACTGTGAAGTTTGGTGTATGTCCGACATGCACCGTGCCCAAAAACGATTTTGATGTCATAGCCGATTTCACAGACTACAGGAGATCACAAACGCTGGAAACACACCTCACAGCAGATGTGTTCACCGCCGCCGACATCGACGTTCGCCGTGCAGCGGAAGCACGAATGTTGGAGTTGAACATGCATAGGCATGTTCAACAGAACGGCCTTTCAGGGTTCTACAAGGGCCCCAATGGTGACGATCCTCAGCTAGACTACCACCTGGCATTGCAACCAGACCGTATGCACACAATCGAGCGCGGCATATTCCTGCACATGATTGACGTATTCAGGACCGCAACCTTTGAGAAGTTGCCGCACTTACCGCAAACAGAGATCCTGAAGGAACTAGATGCAAGGTTGCAAAGCGTTAGTGAGAGATGCACGCGAACATAACCCCAACTTGTGTTGTCGGTGGCCACTGACAGCGACTTTTTTTCGAGGGAAGGACGGTTCGAGGCGAAGCAAAACCGGTCTGTGATGACAGTGTGCGTGTTCCTTATTTCTAATATTAAACCGCGCTCGACAGGCAAGGACATTACCGTTTGTTTTGTGAAACTGATGGAAATGTACATACGAGTGTTTCGGTGTACAACACACAATTGTGCTTCGCTCGATGAATGCGACGCTTTGGTCACGGACTTCGTAACGACCATCACAGGAAAATTGGGAAAATATCAACCATCAACATGGAAACTCTCCAAGTTGCACAATCTCATGCATCTGACAACGTGTATTGAGCGATCCGGTGTCCCCGACACCTTCGCGGCAGATGTTTGGGATCATCACCACAGGAAATTCAGCAAACAGCCATACCTGTCATCAAACAAGCGGAAAGCTTCAACCCAGATGGTAAACCATGTGCGCCGGTCATTGGCGTTGCGCGAAAAGATCGGGATCGTGAAGAAACGGAGGAAGAGAACGGTTGAGAACCGGTCGTCCGTGACAGTTTGTATAGCCACCGGAATGAACACTCTTGCACTACGCAACACGACAATGCTGGAACTGCGGTGGTTCGACATCGATGACGAATACATACGCGAGGGAAAAGGCATTGACAACCATGCGTGTAAGATACTCGAAGAACTTCCTTGAAGACGCGATTTTTGAGTTGCGCTTACGACTTACATGGTGGAGAACGGTTGTCAACCTCCTTCTGACGACCTTCTTATACACACATGGACACACCTGGTCATCGCTTGCGTACAGGACAAAACAAATAGGGGCACACTTGTTCAAACTGCAAGAGCGTCGCCACAGTTCCATGGGAGCACAGTGCACAGTGTTGTCGCAATTAGAGCAGGTTACGAATGCACATGGTTTGCATCAGTAGCCATGTTTTTTATCGTGGACGCACCCACGGACAACGGTAATATGGAACACAGCTGCGGATTTGTGCAATGGTACAAGGAGGTCGACAGTAAACGGCAATATATGACAGGTTGCAAGAAATTAAAATGGGAGAAGTTGAATGGACATCAACACAGTAGAAGACATAATTCACATTGTTCTGCGCTTCTCTAAACCACAATGGGGATCGAAGCAGCATGCAAAACAGCGTGAGGACTGTTTTTATTTGAGCAAGTACATATTGTAGAAGAAACAAATGCAAACTAAGTTTCTATGTTTGCTATGAGAGAGAGAGAAAGAGAGAGAGAGAGAGAGAGAGAGAGAGAGAGAGAGAGAGAGAGAGAGAGAGAGAGAGAGAGAGAGTGTGTTTCTATCTGTCGTCGCCCAGGGACAATCATGTTGTTTCTTCCGAAGTATAGGGGAACGAGAGAGGACATTTGTCTCTTTCTTTCTGTTATTTGTTGAGAAATATCATGTCAAATGTGGCTAAGCTTATGAAGCTGTGAAAACCACATGCGAGACGAAAGTGTCCCCAGAAGTTCGCTACTGCGTGACATTTACGTGGTCAACAGTGATAGTCGTTTCAATTTTGGCACGCAGTACCCAACCTCTCTCTCTCTCTCTCTCTCTCTCTCTTTCTCTCTCTCCAAAGTATCTTATAAAATCGATTTGAAGTTGTTAAAAAAATTAACAAATCGTTTGTGTCATTCCAATTTGACCGACACGTGTGAACAGGAACAAAAACTTACGACGTCGCGCAGTGTTCGGGAAGGAGCGACACAGAACACTGAACAACAGGGTGCAGATAAAAGAAGCCGAGCAAGGATGACAGAGTCACAAAAAAGTAACACGTGTGGTGGCGGCGTAAAGTGCCCATATGTGGGTACGGAACCGGTCATCGGTCCAAGGATGGAAAATAAAGACGAACAGCACCGTAGAGAGGTGGCAAGCGAACTGTTGTTGCCATTGACCAGTGAGAGGTCAGCAAAGAGGTGACAAAAAATGTTGAGGGACTCTTGGTACTCGGAAATGTACGATATAATGACAGAGGGTGAAGCAAAGTCTCCCCAGTTGATAATCGAAGCACTAAGGGAAAAGCAAAAGTCGGGGACATGACGAGAACGCGAGAAGAGCAGACTAACATTAATGATGACAACGAATTGACCGTTGGCTTGACCGTTGAGGTCGTCAAAGGACGATGCGAGGAAAGTTCACTACTCCGAGCCTTTGTTACATAAAATCCGGTGGCTTCACCAGTTGATTGGCCCGCAGTAGCCAACCTTCTCGCGGTGATGGCCGGGAACATGTTCGAAGTTTTTCTTTGCTCGCTATTTTTTTGTTACTGTGACTATGCGAACCCGTACCGCCTGACAATACGGATACAGTCATTCTCACGCACAGAAAGGTTGGTAACTTAAATGACGTCGCAGTATCAACAATAAGATCTTGGTTGTGCCTCTCTCTCTCTCTCTCTCTCTCCCCCCCTCACATTGCCAACAACCATTTTTTTTTTATTTTTTTTTTCCTTCTTCTTCTTCCTCTCTCTCTCTCTCTCTCTCTCTCTCTCTCTCTCTCTCTCTCTCTCTCTCTCTCTCTCTCAATGCGGCCATTACACTCCAGGGGTGTATGGATCGACGCACGACATTGCTGACGCAGTTGTTGTTCGTATTCCACTTTGATGTATGTGGGGAAAAAAGGGTTATGGCTCCAAAGCCAAAATACGAGGATCTGTGCAGGTCTTTGAAAGGCGTGGGAAAGAAGGACAAGGGGAGGAAGAAATGCAAGGCTGATAAGAAAAAAGAAAGGAGAGAGCATCGCAGAAGCAGATCCCAAAATGCAAAAACGGAGCGGACCAGCAGCCGCAGAAACGGATCAAAAGTTTCTCTCCCATCAAGTAAGAGGGGGATTTCAAAGCTGAAAGAACGCAATGAGTCACCCCCTGCAACTCCTGCCCCACGGAATCGTGCCAGCGGCGTCGAGAACCGTCCACCCAAGGCCCCCGAGAAGAGGTCGTGGGAAGACGGAATGTCAAAGGTGCACCACGGGACAAAAAAGAGAATCACGTACAAAAAGGACAGAATGGTGGAGATGATCGATCGATCTGAGAACCTCGGACGATGTGCACAGCGCGGCCCGAGAGGAAGCAGAAGAGGAACACGACCAGTCCATATCAGAAAAGTCTGACGGGGAGGAGAACGAGGCAACAAGTGACGAGGGAGGTGACAGTAAAACTTCCGACGGACATTCTCGCAACACTTACGACGCTGATGACGAGGACGGCAGGAGCAGCGACAGCACAGCGCAGGACGAGGGCAGTGAAGGGGCAGGCGAAGACGACAGAAGCGCGAACGGAAGAGGGAGTTCCTCATCTCCGGGAAGAATGCGACGCACGAGGGAAGCCGAAAGTGGCGGCGAGGGAGGCGCAGCCGACGCGCCCTCCATTGACAGACAACTAGTGAGGCACGACAACGCAGTTAAAAAAGATAAACAAAATGTGCTGAAGTTGCTCCTCTTGCACAACGATTACGTGGTGACGGCGCAAAGTGATGACATTTCCTTATTGTGAGAATGTCGCTGTGATGAACTTACAGTTGAAACGGGCTGTCGAATTTGACAGGTGCGAAAATGGGTGCGAAATGCGGAGTTCTTAATTTTATTTTGTGCGTTGTAATGTGTGTCTTCCAGCAAATGGCACGAACTCGCAAAGAAAGGTGTGCGCGAGCAGGGGAGGACAGTAACAAGGCAATCAAGAAAGCGGCGTATTCTCGAAGGAAATGAAGGACAGACTGTTCCGGGCGGTCACAAAAGCCTTTGCGTTCTCAGCAGCAAAGGACGCAACTCTGTACCCAATAGAGGATGAATTTTTCATGGCGCAGCAAACAACGGTCAAACTGATAGGCGAGAACGTCGAGGAAAGATTGCAATCACACGTAGCGATGTGCGGGATTCGAGCAGTCATAGGGGAGTGCAACAGAATGATGACAACCGTGCGTGGAGAGATAACATGACAACTGAAACATTGGTTCTGGGCTGAAAAAGGGATCCCGCTTGTACGATCGCAACAAACAAATCACCAGCTCTCTACTCGCAACAAGATGCGAGCAGAGATGAAGGAGAACAAAACGTGGAGACGGAGCGGCAACGATCCTTGGGGCGCCCCAGCCTTCAAGACGACACTCACCAAGGTTTTTCCAGATAAGGAGGGACGGCGTAAACCTTGGCGTGACCCTGCAGCAACTGGCTTTTGCAGAGATGGTTCTGCAATGTGAAATCGAGCAGACAACAAAGACCACCAAAATTGCAGGACATCGCATCATCCTTCCGCAGCCACGATACAGTCATGAGTTTTTCGATCTTCAAGTTGGACCGTGCCGTATTTGTTGCTGAGAAGGCTGCCGCGCTATTTAGAGTTGGCGTGCCCTCTGTCCACAGGAGTGGGCCACACAACACAACAATAACGGATGACGATTTCGACCTGGAGTTCATTGCACCGCAGCATGAGAGAAGCAGAGACGGGGAGAGGGATACAGAAAGTCTGTGCGCCAGACCTTGAACAGCGGGGGGGGGGTGAACAAAATAGTGTGAATCAGAAGGTTCATTATGGAATCTGAGAATTAGAAGGTTCATTACATAAGGTCACGGTCATTCCATGAGAGAGAGAGAGAGAGAGAGAGAGAGGAGATGAAGACTATGAACCATGACACTTGAACAGTCACTTTACAACATATGGTCTGTTATTTATGATACACAATTGTACAATCCCTTGTAATGCTCATCTTTGTGTGATTGGTCATAGAGCGACTATGTTATGAAAAAATTCTGAGATGAAGACTATGAACCATGACACTTGAACAATAGTGAACCGTGCTTGTAGAAGGTCATCTGAGCATTTAATTGAGGCTCCCAGACGCGTCCGTCCATAGAATGAAGTACGACAATCCCACAGACTCGAAAAGGAAGGTTGGCTACTGCGTGCCACTCTCTCTCGCGAACTGCCATGTTGGTAAATTTGTGTCACGCAGTAGTGAACCGTGCTTGTAGCAGGGCAGCTCAGCACTTAATCAACGGGCTCTCACGCGTCCATTAACAAAATGAAATACCGCAATCGAACACCAATCAAAAACAAAGGTTGGCTACTATGGGCCAATGTCTGTCTCGCACTGCCATGTTGGTGAATTTGTGTCACGCAGTAGTGAACCCTGCTTCCAGCTCTCTCTCTCTCTCTCTCTCTCTCTCTCTCTC